AAATGTATACTATGGGAGGAGGCGATGGAGGATGTGGGATGCATCCACGTAGATCAGGAGGATGATCGGGCCAGCTGACGATGAAGAGGCCGCCCGATCATCCAAGATATGATGACGTTAGCAGTCAGGAGACTGCTAATTTTTCGGACCCCCCTGCGTATCACAGATGTGATAAGCTCAGATCCGTACCGCGCGGATTGCCGTATCCTTGAGGGAAAACCCCGCGGAAGCCCCGAAGTACGGACGCAGATAGAAAGGTTTTCTTTTTTCTTTTTGCTTTTGTTTTCTTTTTGAAACGGCCTTTTTCATTTTGTTTGGTTAATAACTGCCGCGGGCAAATAGCGGCCGAGGTATGAAAATCAAGAAACGGGTGCGGTTGGGACTTTTTGAATTTTTGCGCGCGCGCCCAAGCTCTGATTTCTTCGCGCGTCTCGCATCCCCGTTTCTTGCTTTGCATCCTCACGCCATCTTCCCTTCTTGCTGCGCGCATTTTCCCCATGCAGGACTCTTCGTCTTCCCCTACGCCCAGCTTGATCCTTACCCTGTCTTCTTCCGCGAAGTGATTGGCTGCGTAGTTGGGATGCTTGGATCAATGTGGAAAGCGGGAAACCGCGCACCACTTGAACGAACACCCCAATCACGTAGCTATGCAATCCCGCGGGTCGAACCCTCTAACTCCCCACGTCTCTCTCATGTCCTGCTCCTCTGCACCCTGCGCTGCCCGCACCTCGCGCCGTTAACCCGCCGCCTCCCGCGCTATAAATTTGCGCAACCCTCTCCTCTCCTTCTCTTTGATCTCGGCTGCAATGTTGCGCGAGCTATGCACGAGAGTCCGCGGCGCCAAACAGTCTCGGTGAGCCCAAGGACGGGCGGAGTGACGACGTGGGGTGGACCCCGCGGTAGTCTCGGGGCGAAGCAGTCGGAGGGACCGAGCAGTGGTGAGGGTTGGACGCCGACCGCGACAGGGCCTTGTGGCTATGGTGGTCGGTGGTCTTGGGAAGTTTTGAAGGCTGCGCCTGGGGGCAGCAGTTAATTGAATTTTTTGTGTACAAGAAGGACTCGCTTCTATCTCCATTGCTGCTTTGTCTATGCATGTCGTGTGTGTGAAGCCCCGAGTGATGGGAGTTTGTTCTGCGCATGAGTGATGTTGAAGGTCCATGGATGATTAGATGTCCTGTCGAGTGTTATTGATTGCATGCATGTATGTGTATATGTACTCGTCTGGGGGGGGATGGGGAAACTGAACTGGGAAACCGTCTGCTTAGGAGTATGAGTGTGTTGATCCGGTTGTTCCCCTCCCCTCTGCGGTCTTTCCTACGCTCTCGCACGGTCTCGGCGTAATTCACTCTCTCACTCTCTCTCTCTCCCTTCTTCCCTTCCCCGATCACCTTCCTCGGAACTGACAGTCATCGCTTTTCGAGCTTATTGTCCCCGTACCGGTGACGTCAACCGCCTGCGTCCGCGCGGACGGTCGAGGCCCCCGCCAAGAGGAGAAAGCTTAGATTTCGTCATCTCCCCTCCTCTACGCACTCACTTTCGAGAGAAAAAAGTTGCGACGATTGTTGTATGGATTCGGTGTTGGTTTGGATGACTGGGAACGCGGGATCTTGCCCGTGTTCATCACGTACCTCCGATCGTCTCATCTCGCTACCGGCCTTCCCCATAACAGATGACGACAGCGTCTACTGCGATGCGGACGTACGGCGTGCGCTGAGGCGGACGGAGCAAGTGTGTTGGCAAGACCCGCCGCGGGCCTGTGAGATAAGGGGGAATTGGTTTGTGTTGATTGATCGTTTTGATTCCCGGACTCTGATATTGCCTTATACGGGTTTAACGGTGTTGCCCTGGTCGTCCGCTCACAACGCGAGGCGACCGTAGTTTGATTGTCGCTGGTGTCGCCAGAGGGACTCGTGCTCGTGGCGACGACTGGTCCTAGGTTACGAGGGAGCGACACGTTTCCCCGAACTTTCCCGTAGTGCAGGGGCGCTGCCCACACAATTTCGAATTCAGATACCGACGAGTCCTCCCGCCTCTTTACCCTCCCGGATACTTTCGCGCGGACTCTGTGAGTCCGACGCCGCGCCCTGAAGGCCTCGAACCACCCACCTCTACAACAAAGACCCGAGGGTTCAGACACTTTGTGAAGTCGATGATGAGGCCCGAAGGCTTCGAACCCACCAGCTATCCCCCAAACCCCTGACAATCGAAGTTTTGTCTTCCGCCGCCATGACCCTCTCCCCTTGATGCCTTTTTCCGTTTCGATGCATGGCGGCAGTTCATTTTTGCGGAAACCTTTTTGATTTTATCGTTTCGGAGTGATTCGCCCCCC